AGCAGCAGCACCAACACCAGCAGCAGCACCAGCAGCAGCACCAACACCAGCAGCAGCACCAGCAGCAGCACCAGCACCAGCAGCACCAGCAGCTGGTGGGGCAATGGAGAATTTGCTTGCAGGATAGTCAGGCAGGACGTGACTTCAGTTACAATGTTGGTGCTGCCTCCCTACCTCCGTCACATCACACTGCTGTAGGTAACCTCCGTCACATCACACTGCTGTAGGTAACCTCCGTCACATCACACTGCTGTAGTTAACCTCCGTCACATCACACTGCTGTAGTTAACCTCCGTCACATCACACTGCTGTAGTTAACCTCCGTCATACCACACTGCTGTAGTTAACCTCCGTCACATGACACTGCTGTAGTTAACCTCCGTCACATCACACTGCTGTAGTTAACCTCCGTCACATCACACTGCTGTATTTAAACCTCCGTCACATCACACTGCTGTATTTAAACCTCCGTCACATCACACTGCTGTAGGTAACCTCCGCCACACCCACATGCGTAGTTAACCCCGTCACATCACACTGCTGTATTTAAACCCTCCGTCACATCTTTTTACTGCTGTAGTTAACCCTCCGTCACATCATACTGCTGTAGTTAACCTCCGTCATATCACACTGCTGTATTTAAACCTCCGTCACATCACACTGCTGTATTATCCCCCGTCACTTTCACACTGCTGTAGTTAACCTCCGTCACATCAACGCTGTAGTTAACCTCCGTCACATCACACTGCTGTAGTTAACCTCCGTCACATCACACTGCTGTAGTTAACCTACGTCACATCACACTGCTGTATTTAAAACCTCCGTCACATCACACTGCTGTTTTTAACCTCCGTCACATCACACTGCTGTAGTTAACCTCCGTCACATCACACGCTGTAGTTAACCTCCGTCAATCACACTGCTGTAGTTAACCTCCTTTCATCATACTGCTGTAGTTACCTCCGTCATATCACACTGCTGTAGTTAACCTCCGTCATCTCACACTGCTTTTAGTTAACCTCCGTCACATCACACTGCTGTAGTTAACCTCCGTCACATCACACTGCTGTAGTTAACCTCCGTCACATCACACTGCTGTAGTTAACCTCCGTCACATCACACTGCTGTAGTTAACCTCCGTCACATCACACTGCTGTAGTTAACCTCCGTCATACCACACTGCTGTAGTTAACCTCCGTCACATCACACTGCTGTAGTTAACCTCCGTCACATCACACTGCTGTAGTTAACCTCCGTCACATCACACTGCTGTAGTTAACCTCCGTCACATCACACTGCTGTATTAACCCCGTCATACCACACTGCTGTATTTAAACCTCCGTCACATCACACTGCTGTAGTTAACCTCCGTCACATCACACTGCTGTAGTTAACCTCCGTCACATCACACTGCTGTAGTTAACCTCCGTCACATCACAGTAACAAGGGGACACAGTTGGAAGCTAAAGACACAGATGAATCACAGGGATGTTAGGAAGTATTTCTTCAGCCACAGAGTAGTCAGTAAGTGGAATAGTTTGGGAAGCGATGTAGTGGAGGCAGGATCCATACATAGCTTTAAGCAGAGGTACGATAAAGCTCACGGCTCAGGGAGAGTGACCTAGTAGCGATCAGTGAAGAGGCGGGGCCAGGAGCTCGGACTCGACCCCCGCAACCTCAACTAGGTGAGTACAACTAGGTGAGTACTGCTGTAGTTAACCTCCGTCATACCACACTGCTGTAGTTAACCTCCGTCACATCACACTGCTGTACTTAACCTCCGTCACATCACACTGCTGTAGTTAACCTCCGTCACATCACACTGCTGTAGTTAACCTCCGTCACATCACACTGCTGTAGTTAACCTCCGTCACATCACACTGCTGTAGTTAACCTCCGTCATACCACTGCATGGACTGCAAAAAGGCCTTCGACACAGTTCCTCACAAGAGGTTACTGCAAAAGCTAGAGGATCAGGCACACATAACAGGAAAGGCACTGCAATGGATCAGAGAATACCTGACAGGGAGGCAACAACGAGTCATGGTACGTGACGAGGTGTCAGAGTGGGCGCTTGTGACAAGCGGGGTTCCACAGGGGTCAGTCCTAGGACCTGTGCTGTTCTTGGTATATGTGAACGACATAACGGAAGGGATAGACTCAGAAGTGTCCTTGTTTGCAGATGATGTGAAGTTAATGAGAAGAATCAAATCGGATGAGGATCAGGCAGGACTACAAAGAGACCTGGACAGGCTACAAGCCTGGTCCAGAAACTGGCTCCTTGAGTTTAACCCTGCCAAAAAGCAAAGTCATGAAGATTGGGAAGGGCAAAGAAGGGCCGCAGAACACAATATAGTTTAGATGGCCAAAGACTGCAAACCTCACTCAAGGAAAAAGATCTGGGGGTGAGTATAACACCGAGCATATCTCCTGAGGCGCACATAAATCAGATAACTGCTGCAGCATACGGGCGCCTGGCAAACCTACGGATAGCGTTCCGATACCTCAATAAGGAGTCGTTCAAGACACTGTATACCATTTACGTCAGGCCCATACTGGAGTATGCAGCACCAGTTTGGAATCCACAACTAGTCAAGCACGTCAAGAAATTAGAGAAAGTGCAAAGGTTTGCAACAAGACTAGTCCCAGAGCTACGGGGATTGTCGTACGAAGAAAGGTTGAGGGAAATCGGCCTGACGACACTGGAGGCCAGGAGGGTCAGGGGAGACATGATAACGACATATAAAATACTGCGCAGAATAGACACGGTGGACAAAGACAGGATGTTCCAGAGATGGGACACATACACAAGAGGTCACAATTGGAAGTTGAAGACTCAGATGAATCAAAGGGATGTTAGGAAGTATTTCTTCAGTCATAGAGTAGTCAAGTCGTGGAATAGTCTAGAAAGTGAAGTAGTGGAGGCGGGAACCATACATAGTTTTAAGGCGAGGTATGATAAAGCTCATGGAGCAGGGAGAGAGAGGACCTAGTAGCAATCAGTGAAGAGGCGGGGCCAGGAGCTATGACTCGACCCCTGCAACCACAAATAGGTGAGTACAAAATAGGTGAGTTCTGCTGTAGTTAACCTCCGTCACATCACACTGCTGTAGTTAACCTCCGTCACATCACACTGCTGTATCTTCTGCTTCTATCAACTTTTCTGTACTTGACTGAAGAAGCCTACTGTGTAGGCGAAACGTTTCATAATAAAGATACCTAACTGTTGCATATGTGTCTTACCTAACAACCTGTCGGTATTTTATACCATTTTAATGTTCAACCCTTGGGTATCTTTATTGAGGAAACGTTTCACCACACAGTGGCTTCATCAGTCCATACAAAGGAGAATGGTGAAGAACAGGAGGAGTTTGAGGTAATCAGTCCCTCAGCCTTGAGTCGATGTAGTCAGTCCATCAATTTTGAAAAGAATACAGCATATGTGTGAAGAAGTAGCTTATATACTGTAGGCAGGAGAGGTACAGCAGTCGTAGGTGGTAACACATTTGTCCAGTGTGGAAGTAGGTGGTGACCAAGGGTTAGGCAACTGAAGAATTCCCTGTATTAAGATCCCAAGATGTTGGTAATGTCAGACAGGATTGTAGATGAATGGTTCAGAGAACCATACATAGCTTTAAGATGAGGTATAATAAAGCTCATGGAGCAGGGAGAGAGGGGACCTAGTAGCACTCAGTGAAAAGGCGGGGCCAGGAGCTGAGTATCGACCCCTACAACCACAATTAGGTGAGTACACATACACGCGCACACACACACACATACACACACACACACACACACACACACACACACACACACACACACCACACACACACATACACACACACACACACACACACACACACACACACACACACACACACACATACACACACACACACACACACACACACATACACACACACACACATACACACACACACACACACACACACACACACACACACACACACACACATACACACACACACACACACACACATACACACACACACACACATACACACACACACACACACATACACACACACACACACACACACACACACACACACACACACACACACACACACACACACACACACACACACACACACACACACACATCAGATGCTCTGAAAAATGCTGCTTTCTGATTTTTGCCATCAGTAATATAGCATAATGTGATGTGACGGAGGTTAACTACAGCAGTGTGATGTGACGGAGGTTAACTACAGCAGTGTGATGTGACGGAGGTTAACTACAGCAGTGTGATGTGACGGAGGTTAAACTACAGCAGTGTGATGTGACGGAGGTTAACTACAGCAGTGTGATGTGACGGAGGTTAACTACAGCAGTGTGGTATGACGGAGGTAAACTACAGCAGTGTGATGTGACGGAGGTTAACTACAGCAGTGTGATGTGACGGAGGTTAACTACAGCAGTGTGATGTGACGGAGGTTAACTACAGCAGTGTGATGTGACGGAGGTTAACTACAGCAGTGTGATGTGACGGAGGTTAACTACAGCAGTGTGATGTGACGGAGGTTAACTACAGCAGTGTGATGTGACGGAGGTTAACTACAGCAGTGTGGTATGACGGAGGTAAACTACAGCAGTGTGATGTGACGGAGGTTAACTACAGCAGTGTGATGTGACGGAGGTTAACTACAGCAGTGTGGTATGACGGAGGTTAACTACAGCAGTGTGATGTGACGGAGGTTAACTACAGCAGTGTGATGTGACGGAGGTTAACTACAGCAGTGTGATGTGACGGAGGTTAACTACAGCAGTGTGATGTGACGGAGGTTAACTACAGCAGTGTGATGTGACGGAGGTTAACTACAGCAGTGTGATGTGACGGAGGTTAACTACAGCAGTGTGGTATGACGGAGGTTAACTACAGCAGTGTGATGTGACGGAGGTTAACTACAGCAGTGTGATGTGACGGAGGTTAACTACAGCAGTGTTATGTGACGGAGGTTAACTACAGCAGTGTGATG